CTCACGTATCAAAAAATTGGCGATTGTTTCAATTATTTTGACTTCCAAATGTGCGTAACTTATATTACAAGACATTTTTCAATAATTATATAATTATTGAGGTGCAAAATCTGGCCCTCTCTCTGTCGAGCCTCTTGGAGTGCATGTTGTGCTAGGTCTTAACGAGCCAGAAGCCGTAGGGAACAAAGAAACGAAGCGAAGTGAAGTCAAGAATAAGGGTGAGATTTATTTTATATTAAATAGAGACTAAGACAATTTCGAAAAAAAAAAAAAACTGTCTATTTTTAAAATTATCATCTTGATTTTTGAAACAATACATTTGTAATTTGACTTAAATTATTGTAAAATTTTGAAACTTATGAAAAAAAAAAATTAAAGAGATGAATTTCGATTGATTTAAAATTCTTAACCCATTTTGAATTTCGTGCAAATTGAAACCTAAAAAAATTAAATTCATTATAATTTTGTAATTTCTAAGAGGTTTGTTAATTTTAAAGTAGCGCAAAATTCTTCATTTAAGGTTAGCCGTCCAAGGATAGAAGCATGTGATAGTTTTTTAATTCAATTTGAACAAAATCTTTTATATTAGAAAGAGATTTTGAATTAAGCCTAATTTTACGGCAACTAAAATGAGAAGGGATTTTGGATTTCAAATATTCAATTCAAGTTTTAAGGTAATTTTTTCGGCAATCTTATTGTTTGGAATAAAAAACACAATTGAATTTGAGAAATCAAATATGAGAAAGGATTTTGCCTTTTAAATTATATTCAATGATCAAAATTTTTAGAACTTAATGGAACCAAATCCACCAATTTATCTTTTAAGGGTTTAAATGAACTGTAATTTATTAAATGAACAAAATACACCAAATAAATGAATTTTAATTTATTTTTTAAAAAATAAAAGCATCTGATTAAAATAATTTTAGTAGCCGAGTTGATGTTAAAAGAGTTTTTGATTTTTTGTAAATACTATCGTAAGTTTATATTATTAAATTAGGTGTAATTTATTTTTTTTAATAAAATAAAATTTACAATGTGGTACACGATTATATGTTAAAGATTTTTTTTTTTAATTTGAGAAAAGGAAGAAGGAAGAGCATAATCTTGCACAAAAATAAATAACAAACTCTACTTAACAAATTTCACATTTAAATACAATCTATTAATATATAATAAGGATTAACGTAATTCACTTTTAGAAATTTTTTCCCGCCAATTTCATTAATTATTGCCTAAAAATAATAAATTAACAAAATTGCCTAAAATCACTCATAGTTATGTTTTAACGATTTGGTCTAATAAATAGCAAGCATTAATTGCAATAGGTACTGTGGAATAAATCATTATATTTATAGAATCCCACCATTACATTAATTTTTTCACGCCATTGCATTAATTTTTTCACAATTCGAAATCAAACTTTTCATTTTTTTTTTCTTCACAATTCGGACTCAAATTTTCCCCCTTTTTTTCACAATTCGGACTCTTTATTAGCATATTTATTTTTTTGATTTATTTAGGAATACAATAAAAAATATGGAATCAAAATCTAAATAAATCTCCTCTTTTTGTGGCTCCATATAAATCTCCTCTTTGAGAGCATCTTCAATGCTCTAATGTTGTTATAGAAATTTTTTTGACAAATGTCAAAAAAAAAAAAAAAAAAAAAAATAGATTGTGTACCATGTAGGACAAATATTGAATTCACAACTATTAAATTAAAAAATCATCTCCAATGCACAATGTTGCCTAATTTCAATATTATCTACTTGCCAAATAATAAAATTTTAATATAAATTAATAAAATTAATTAAATAATTAAATAGTTTGATAATGATAATAATAATTCTCTCTCTTCTCCTCATTGGTTAACTAGAGTGTGGACTAGAATGTGGATGAACCACATTATTCTCTACATTGTAGACATTAACTATGTCCACATCATCACAATATTTGTGATCACATTGTACATTGGATGATGAAAAATTGTGATATTAATAAATCTGTTGATGTGGAATGTAATTTATCACTACAACATTGAGCATTGGAGATGCTCTGAAGACCGCATATCCTGCGTTTAGTAAGGCGTTTGCCAAAAAAAAATGATTAATTAAAATTGATTCATAATTTTCATCAAACACTTTTGATTAAAATATTACCAATATTTTTCCATTTAAATAATTGTCACCAATCACTTTTTTGCTAAAAAAAAGTTGTATAAAAGGATATTCACTACCACTATTATTTCTTCAAGGCATTCACAACATTCAGAAAAATAAAATACAAAGATAAATTTTAGAACACATCGATAATATAATGCCGCCTGTTCGGGACACACTCGATTCCGTGAGTAGGACATACAAAATTTATTTGCGTTTGAGAGCAGTCCGAACAATTGAAACGCATCACGAACGGGAGAGCTGAAACGCATTCTATATACTTTTTCATGATGAACAGGTAAATATTTTTATTTGTAATATCAAATTTATATAGCTTGAAAAAATATTTTAATTAATAATTATAAATTTATTATGTAGGGTGCATTTATTAAAGGCATAATACGTTCTACAAATATGAGAGCATTTCCAGGTGTACTGACGAGGTGTTCGGGAATGCCAAACCATGAGTTGCATTTGAAGATAGGAACTCCAGTCGTGTTGTTGCAAAACATGGACCATTCTATGGGTCTGTGTAATGGCAGATGTTTTGTTGTTACATAACTCTCTCCGCGGGTTCTTGAATGTAGAATATTGACTGGAGACCACGCAGGTGATATGGTGTGAATTTCTCAGATGAACATAACTCTTTCTGATGTTAGGGTTCCGTTTAAGTTCCACTGAAGACAATTTCTCCTTATGGTTTCCTATGACATGACAATAAAGTCAGTCTTTATTACATGTAGGACTGTTCTTGAAAAAACCTGTTTTTAGTCATGGCCAGTTATACGTCGTTGTTTCACGTGTTATTAATAGAAAGAGATTGAAAATATTAGTTTGTGGGGACGATGAGTTACCCAGTAATCAAACTAATAACATTGTACATAATGAGGTTTTTAATATGTATAATTTTTACCAATGACGAATTTATGTTTACTTTATGAATGACATACGTATTATGATAACTTATTAATTAATTACCTTTTTAATTTTTAATTTTTTTTCAAAACATGTACTAGCCCGTGCATCGCACGGGTTACATACTAGTAATTAATGATGCACATTTGTAAATAAAAAAATAAAATAAAAACTTTCTATTAATAGCATGCAATTAATGCTCTACCATACTTGACCACAATTTGACTTGCCATTTTTAAAAAATGATACTCCCTCCTATCTTTTTTATTTGTCATTCTAGCTTAATTGACTATTGAATAAATAAATGTCATTTTGGCTATTTTGTTCATATTTTTCCAATTGTAACCCCTCCACCTTATTTCCAATGTCTCTTCATATTCTATCTCTCTCTTGATTTTCCGCAAATCTTCATTTATTTTTTACACTAATCATCATTAATTATGTTACTTAATGGAGTAGTAGTTTTCATTAAATAGGGGTAATATTGGCAACAACAAAAATTCTTAATTAGAGTGCTAGTTGCTAGAATGACAAATAAAAAAGATAGGAGGGAGTAATTCTTTTTAGGGTAATTGTTATTTTAGTACCTGTACTATGGGTTAATTGTGATTTTGGTACCTATCCTTTATTTATTGCGAAAATACAACCCAACCTTTACGTTTTTTGCGAATTTGGTACCTATTCTTTATTAATGGCTAAAATACAACTCAACCTTTACATTTTTTACGAATTTAGTACCTAATAATTTTTTTGTACCTAATAATACATATAAAATATCTTTATTTTGGTTTTTTTGATGTAAATCATAAAATTGTTATTTGTATTATAATGAATGATACAAATAAAATGAACTGCATTTTCAATATTATTAAAATTACATTTAGAGATTCTGTAAAAAACCATATATAATTATTAATAACCATATTTAAATTGAATGGTCATATTTAAATATCAATGAAATGCAACCATGATTTAAAAAATCATAGTATCTCCTATGAAAATTCAAAAGAAAAAATATTTCTCTTTTTTGTATTTACCTTAACAACAAAATTCCTGAAGAAATGAAGATACATACAATTTTTTTAATATTAGGTAAATGAACTGCATTTTCAATATTATTAAAATTACATTTAGAGATTCTGTAAAAAACCATATATAATTATTAAAAAAAAATATTTTAAAAAAGTATTACTTTTCAAATAAATTATAAAAGAAAAAAATTATTTTATATCATTTTAACAAAATTTAATTTGATTTAATTTAATTTTATTTTATTTATATATATTTTTACTTGTTAATTTTTATTTCTTACACGTTATTTTTATTAAAAGTACATATATTTTAATTTTTTAATTTATTAAAAATTACTTTAAATCATTTTATTGCCTTTCACTATATTTTTATTTTATAATATTTTATTATAATTTATCTTATTTTTATTTTTAATTTTATGATTTATATAATATTTTATTTGTATCATTCATTGTAATACAAATAATAATTTTATGATTTACATCAAAAAATCAAAATAAAGATAATATTATTAGGTACAGAAAAATTATTAGGTACTAAATTCGCAAAAAACGTAAAGGTTGGGTTGTATTTTAGCCATTAATAAAGAATAGGTACCAAATTCGCAAAAAACTTAAAGGTTGGGTTGTATTTTCGCAATAAATAAAGGATAGGTACTAAAATCACAATTAGCCCATAGTACAGGTACTAAAATAAAAATTACCCTTCTTTTTATATACAGATAGATTAACCCTAATAATAATAATAATAATAATAATAATAATAATAATAATAATAATAATAATAATAATAATAATAATAATAATAATAATAATAATAATGCTCACAATTTTGTTTCAAAAGACGAAATCAAACCATTATGTGGAGATGTCAACTCAAATTTTCACTTGAATGTTTTCCTTTCCCCCTCAAATTTTCGTCTTCCATGTTTTATTTTCCCCCAAATTTTCCACTTTTCCATTCGCGTTACATTCGCTGCTCCGTTCAAAATATTCAACCTCTCCAGCGATTCGCTGCTCCGTTCGCGTCCATTGCTCAGTTCTTCTGTCAAATTTTCCACTTGCCAGTTTTTCGTTACTCCGCGCCTGCTGCTCCGTCCGTCTGGAGAATCAATCGACAATTGGCGCTAAAGACTCGACCTCCTCACCCGACTACCGCTCGACGCCGGCTTCCCGAGTCCACTGGACCAAAATTCCTCACCAATCGCTCTTTTTCCTCCTCCATGGCCGAAACCCTTTCAACCCATTCCCAGGCTCGAGCCCAATCCCAGCCCGAATAGGGTGCAAGAAGATGTTCACAGGTAATTATATATGTTGTTTGCTATCTACTTTCATAATGTTTCTACATATCCATATTTATTTAATTTTTTATTTTCCTATTTTTGTTTGATCAAACCAATTTATCTATATTGTATGCAAGGTAGCTGATGAGTTGTTAGGTCCAAAGTTCTTAGGATTTTAAAGTTTCTTGAAACTGAAAAATATGATATGTTAACTGGTTAAATGGAATTCGACATAGTCTAATCTTACAGTTTTTCGATATCCGACAAGTTCTCGACTAGGGATTATTTCAACGGTGAGGAGTGCTCATTGCCGGATATAGTTCCGACGAGTGGCGTGGGGCAGCTGGTGGGGTCGTCGGTCTTGGTGCAGTTGGTTGTGGGTGTATTGATTTGTGTTTTCATGCTGCAATAGTGAACCAGAATGAATACAACAGGTATCGATGCGTGTTTATTTGTTCATTTTTTTTCCTTGGTTTATATCGGATCGAATGACTTGGTGAGAAGGGGTTTTCTTGGAATGGGGTGATTCAATTGTTTTTGGTCAAAATTCAGGTTGTTTAAGATGGAGGAAATATTCCATCCAACATCATCAAGAGTTTAATGTATCAACTTTGCAATGTTGTTGCTTTCTGTCATGGTCATGGTGTTCTACTCAGAGATCTCAAGCCTCATAATCTTTTAGTCTTATTAATATTATATATAAATGTTGTATACTTGGCCTTGTGAGCATCAATGATATTCGGTGCCTAGTTTCTGCAAAAGCTCTTACTTTGACGCAACGTAGGCCTTGTAGAAACTCCATGAACAAAGATGTGGAAAATTGGTTTTTCTTGGACCGAAGGTGACTAGCTTGTGTCATCCTTGCCAATGTCAAGGAAAAAAATATTAATAAGTCATTAGAAAATGCATCACTTATAGACATTCTAGTAATAGTTCATGATTCAATAGTGTTTGGTTGAAATTTAGTAAATGTCTTGTGCATGGCCTAATCCTGGAAAGCTTTTATTATGTATTGAGCAGTAGAATAGTGTTTATTTGTTTGTTGATGATGTCAAAACCTGCATAAATATCAGATACTCTTGTAGGTAACTTTATTGATGATGAAAATGAGAAGGCATGAGGGAAGATAATGCCCTTTGAATGTTTGGTTCCTAAACTGCTATGATGTCTATTTTTCTCTGAGAATAGAAATACATATTTTCGTTCTCTATGTTTTTGTTTATGTGATATTTCATTATGTCGGTTACAACGAGTCGGGCAGTGTATAGACAACATTTACATACAAGGTTCCCCTGCCAAAGTTCGATCGGGCAATAATGCTTTGGTTCCAGGTGAATAGACATAAGACGATTTGATGAATTTCGTTTATTTTAATTCTTTCTCCAAATAAATATATTAAGACATTGGAAAATTGAAAACAGGGTTTGAGGAAGGGCTTAGGGACATGAAGCCTAGAGGAAAACGGAGATTAATTATTCCTCCAGAGCTTGGATCCCCCGGTGAGTATTTTTCCTCGTAGAAGCCGATTATTAGTATCAATTTTTTCTTATTAAAAAAGGTTTTTCCTAGGTCAAAATTTTTTTGAGTTGGTTATGTTCAAATCCATCATAATGGCTGGCAACAATAATTAACCAATATGATTAATTGATTATCATAAACAACAAGTTTTTCATATTCTTTTCATATATGTTCAATTCTGATAAGTGATGTACATGATGAAATTTCGTGTTGCTTAAACAGGTAGATCCTTCCACTTTCTTCAGCTCCAAGTAACTTGAAGTATTTGATGTAGAAATGCTGAGCATTCAAGATTGCACGAGGTGGACGATTGGATTTCATTCCAATGTTGTCTGTAGTTGAGTAAGACGACGTCCAAAAATTTTCTCTTGTCAAGTGCGGTCTTCGCAACCTGTTTCTTACATGGGCGCATAACACATTATTTTAGCTTCGTTCAGTTCTAGTATTATTCTCAGTTTTTCATAGTTTTTGTGTCCCGCATATATCATATGCCATTTTGTGCGTGCCAAGAGAAATGCAATATTTAGTTGACGGATTATCGATTCAACAAGTAGTTTGGCCAAATTTTTATAACAATAGTAGTAGATAATAATTAAAATATCAAAATATTTTTTAATTAATTATTGAATGACAAGGTTCAAATATTTTAAGTCCTAATATTTAAAATATTACTCAGCTTTATCATGTTAAGAAACATATTCGTCTTGCACAAAATCAACATATTCATCATGTTAAGAAACATATTCATCTGAGAATGAAACATGTTCATCTTATAATTTAGCATATTCATTTGATAATAAAACATATTCATCATATAACATTACATCTTCATCTTATAATTTGACATGTTCATTTTACAATGAAACATATTCATCATGTTAAGAAACATATTACGTACAAAATCAACTTATTCAACTTGTAAAAAATCAACATATTCATCGTGTTAATAAACATGTTCATCTGAGAAAGAAACATGTTCATCTTATAATTTAACATATTCAGATGATAATAAAACATATTCATTTTATAACATAACATGTTCATCTTATAAGTTGACATGTTCATTTTACAAAGAAACATATTGATCATGTTAAGAAATATATTACGTACAAAATCAGCATATACATCATGTACAAAACCAACATATTCATTGTGTTAATAAACATGTTCATCTGAGAAAAAAACATGTTCATCTTATAATTTAACATATTCAGCTTATAATAAAACATATTCATCTTATAACATAACATGTTCATCTTATAAGTTGACATGTTCATTTTACAAAGAAACATATTCATCATGTTAAGAAGCATATTACGTACAAAATCAAAATATACATCATGTGCAAAATTAACATATTCATCGCATTAATAAACATGTTCATCTGAGAAAGGAATTTTTCGCCTTGAATATCGTGCCTAGGTTTCTTTTACCTGCACCTTTTTACCGCCTTTATCTTTCCTCTTACCTACTATGCGCGTGCTTAGGACAAAATATTGAAACGAATTCACGCGCCTATTTAGGAAGTGCATTTCACCTAATGCCATTGACGCAACTAATTATTTGCGATATTTGCCCACATCTGTCAACCGTATGAATTGAGTACATGCCAAGTATATTATGTAAATTTTATTTGTAAACCGGTAACAGCTGTTACCGATGTATTTGAATTAAACAATGAAATAGTTGATATTTAATAACATTGATACCTGTGTACTAATTAAATTAGCCGTGTACTAATAATAACATTTTATATGTAACGAAATAATAAAACTATGATAATAACATTTAAAATAGGCACGCGTACTTCATCTAGCAAATAAAAGTGGATTCCAATTTATTAGCCTTGGCCTGCGCGTGTATTTTATCTTATAACATAACATCTTTATCTTATAATTTGACATGTTCATTTTACAATTAAACATATTCATCATGTTAAGAAACATATTAAGTACAAAATCAACATATTCATCTTGTTAATAAAGTGATAGTAATTAAAATATCATGATATTTTTTAGTTAATTATTGAATGACAAAGTTCAAATATTTTAAATCTTAATATTTAAAATGTTACTCAGCTTTATCATGTTAAGAAACATATTCGTCTTGCACAAAATCAACATATTCATCGTGTTAAGAAACATATTCATCTGAGAATGAAACATGTTCATCTTATAATTTAACATATTCATCTAATAATAAAACATATTCATCTTATAACATTACATCTTCATCTTATAATTTGACATGTTAATTTTACAATGAAACATATTCATCATGTTAAGAAACATATTACGTACAAAATCAACTTATTCAACTTGTAAAAAATCAACATATTCATCGTGTTAATAAACATGTTCATCTTATAATTTATCATATTCAGATGATAATAAAACATATTCATCTTATAACATAACATGTTCATCTTATAAGTTGACATGTTCATTTTACAAAGAAACATATTGATCATGTTAAAAAATATATTACGTACAAAATCAACATATACTTCATGTACAAAACCAACATATTCATCGTGTTAATAAACATGTTCATTTGAGAAAAAAACATGTTCATCTTATAATTTAACATATTCAGCTGATAATAAAACATATTCATCTTATAACATAACATGTTCATCTTATAAGTTGACATGTTCATTTTACAAAGAAACATATTCATCATGTTAAGAAACATATTACGTACAAAATCAAAATATACATCTTGTGCAAACTCAACATATTCATCGCATTAATAAACATGTTCATCTGAGAAAGGAATTTTTCGCCTTGAATATCGTGTCTAGGTTTCTTTTACCTGCACCTCTTTACCGCCTTTACCTTTCCTCTTACCTACTATGCGCGTGCTTAGGACAAAATATTGAAACGAATTCACGCGCCTATTTAGGAAGTGTGTTTCACCTAATGCCATTGGCGCACCTAATTATTTGCGATATTTGCCCACATCTGTCAACCGTATGAATTGAGTACATGCCAAGTATTTTGTGTAAATTTTATTTATAAACCGATAACAACTGTTACCGATGTATTTGAATTAAACAATAAAATAGTTGATATTAAATAACATTAATACCCGTGTACTAATAATAACATTTTATATGTAACGAAATAATAAAACTATGATAATAACATTAAAAATAGGCACGCGTACTTCATCTAGCAAATAAAAGTGGATTCCACTTTATTAGCCTTGGCCCGCGCGTATATTTTATCTTATAACATAGCATCTTCATCCTATAATTTGATATGTTCATTTTATAATGAAACATATTCATCTTGTTAAGAAATATTTCGTACAAAATCAACTTATTCATTTTGTACAAAATCAAACATATTCATCGTGTTAATAAACATGTTCATCTGAGGAAAAAATATGTTCATCTTATAATTTAACATATTCAGCTGATAATAAAACATATTTATCTTATCACATAACATGTTCATCTTATAAGTTTGCATGTTCATTTTACAAATGAACATATTCATCATGTAAAAAACATATATACGTACAAAATCAACATGTTAAGAAACATATTCATTTCGTCGTAATGTTTTGACTCGGGGAATTTGCATACTTGAGATAAATTAATACCATAAGTTTCATTATTTTGTCATTTTGTTTGCAAATTATGGGTAAATTAATTTAACTTCATTAATCACAGAATATAAGTAATGAAATTGGAATGTTACCAAGTTGTAGCTAATTAATTGAAGAATATAACTTATGTAAATTGAAACATTACGAAATTTAATCATTAATTTTTTAAACGTAAAGTGTAATTATATTTTTAATTATCCCACTATATAAAAGTTGATGCTAAAACTAAGCAATTACTATAAATTCAAAATTACTATTTAGTAATTTAACCGGTTAATTTTGTTTTTATCCACTCCCCTTTTAGCTTTTGAGGTCTGAATCTAATTCATAGACAAGGCACTAAAGGAAATTGTTCGTACTCATTCTAAATTTTTTTAATAAATATATTTAATTTATAATTATTTAATGTTATTAGAAACATAGAGCTGTAGAGATTAATAAAATTTAAAAAAATACAAATCATATCTAGTACTATTGTTTTGAAAATTGGACCAAACTTGTTGTTGAATCGATAATCGGTCAACTACACGGTTGATCGGACTGGTCAATTATATATTTTATTTAAAATAAGTTGATAAATATTTATATATTTTCTAATGAAACAAAAATATATATAAGTTCAAATATTTATTTATTTTATTATTATATTAAAATATTTTTATTACAATACAATGTTCTATAGTTCAAATATTTTTATTTAAATAATAAATATATTTAGAAAAAATATTTAATTATATTATAAATTAATGGGTTGATAAACAATAAAAATATAAAATCTAGAGGTTTATAAAATTTTAAAAAATAAAAATATAATCAACTACTATTGTTTTGAAAATTGGGTCAAACTGACTGTTGAATCGAGAATCGGTCAACTAAATGCTTGGATTCCTTTGAACTAGTCGGTTTCTAATGAACCAGTCAAAATTGGTTGATCGAACTGGTTATTTAACATATTTTTTAAATAAATTAATATGTATTTATATATTTTTAATATAACATATGTATAAATACAAATATATTTAACATCGTCATCATCATCAACAACATTATTATTATTATTATTATTATTATTATTATTATTATTATTATTATTATTATTATTATTATTATTATTATTATTATTATTATTATTATGGGACACATTTCTCAACCCAACGACTAACGACCACATGACTCGCAAGTGACACCTCTGAAACAAATTAAGAATTGAATTTCCATTGAACAAGACTAATTTTGCAACGAGTCCAATCCTAACGAACGGAATTTGCAATTTCCTTGTGTAAAGGATATTGAAGGAATTCCTTTGTCAAAATTGGCAGAATTACAAGCCAGCACGTCAAAATCAACTGTAACTTGACAGCACACCATACAAAATATCACAGAATCATGAAAGAGAATTATTGTTAGCATGTCACAACACATAACCACAAAGGGAAAAGTCCTAAATTATCTCAATGTAGCACAGAGAAGTGTTGCTTATTTTTTAACATGTAAAGTATGTGATTTATGAATGAGATTACAATATCTAGATGGTACAAAGACAGTAATAACAAGATCAATAAATAACTTACCAAATCACAGGGGTTGAAGATTGCAACCTCATGGAAGTTTTAAGGGTTAAATCAAGTGGAATCTTGGGTCCAGGTATATGGATTTCTGAACAAAAGCTATGTGGCACAATATTTCCTGTTCCATCTATAGACTCGGAAAGTGGAGCTGAAGCAGAACGAGATTCACATGAAACAAGTCCTCTCAATGCTTTAACCTGAAAATGAAGAATAGAACTTTACATTCTAACCTCAACATAGTCCATTTATGTCCAAGATTAAAGTTATAACAAAAGAATACCATATCTACAAATGAGGAGCCATTTAACTTCTCACTGCCCACTGATAGCTCTTTAACACTCCTAAAAGTATTGTGAATGCATTTTCCAGTTGAGTTGTTATTTTGATTGGAAGAGTGCTTTCCACCTTCTGAAGCCGCAGTATCCACACTTGAAGGGAATACATAAAACAAATTGTCCAAGTAAGAAACTTAAAACCAAAGTTAAACCATGATTGACTCAGGTAAAATCAACCGTACCACAAGTTTTGCCCTTGTTTTTTGTCTTGTTCCATTGGGAAACTTGAATGTTTCATGTTGTTGACGCACTTGCTAGGCAGATCATCCTGCCAATAGTCCATCACAATCAATCACCAAAAGTTGAATCTAACATTCTTCAAATGACATGATTAGTATGTTGTTCAGATTAGGCCTAAAAGGAAAGTCTCAACCTTAAAAGTTCCCTTTCTGGGAAGCAGCCTACTGATTTTAGTTACGGGAAAATGTTCATCCATTCGTATAAATTGTGGTATTTTCGATGAGTCCGATTTGCTGACTCCAGAAACTGCTCCATCTGCATTTCTAGACAAAGCAAAGGATTTACCGCAAAGGAAATCCAGAGTTATTCAAGAAAAGTTTGGTAAAAAGTTGTACCTCGTGAAACTAGGAATGGAAGGAGATTCATCAGCAAACTCCACTGGATTCTTAAGCTTCAACAGTTCCCCCTACCACATAAACAAATAAGAACTATTCTTGACAGCAATAACATAACAATCTCTATTATATGCAGCTTTGATGTGGGCCTTTTCTCATTCAAAATTGTGGACAGCCCTTCGGCTTTATAAGATTGTAAAGTCAGTAAGTTCTTGAAAGACACGATTTAACCCTCAAACATGAATGAGAAGAACAAATATTTTGCCTCATTGCGTTTTAAAGACACAATTTAACCCCAGACATGAATGAAAAGGGTAAAACTAACTTAAAGCAACTAACAGACTAACTTATACATAAACAATCTGTCAGCTTTCAGAGTCATACTGAGTCTAAAGTAACAAACTCCCATAGCTACATTGATACGTATAAGTATCTAACAGAAAGCGAAGCATTTCATGATCATGGCTGGAATGTTTTGTTACCCGCAACTCAGATGGTGTTTTTCGCTTCAACGTGGTGGTTGAGATCTTAGATAGGTTTTTGCAAGTACGAGGAGTACGAGACCAAGTACAAGACCAAGTACACCCGGTTGCTGCTATTATTTCCGGCTAACTTGAGCTCTCGCCAGAGCTTCCTGCCGATTTCTAAGGCATCCTTGGTGGCCTTCGAAAAACCCGATGCCAGATTACTGATTCCTGAACTTGGAGAGATCTATGGACTGGATTAGTTTAGATTGATAAGAGGTCAGATTATTTTGGACCTCTTTTTCATACACCACCAAAAGAGGAATGGATTAGTTGACTGTTTTGAACAAAATCCAGATTATTTTGCACATAACATACACCACCAAAAGCCAAATCATAAAGAATCATACTATAGTTGACCAAATTCTACCAACTCCAGCTCCAAACAGCCAGTGAATTAAATTATAAAAAAATGAAAATGCATGAATAGAATAAGAAGACGAGGGGAACACACAGTGGCACAAGCTCACCTTGCATCCTAGGTCTGGGACAAATCCACCCGTCATTCACCAGAGCGATGTTTGCAGGCACAAGTACATCCAGCGGGACCGCCCCAAACTGGGGACAAATCCCCCGCCGTCTTGATACCCGTTTCCAGATCCGGATTCGGGAACCTCACAAAGAACGACACGTTTCCCACGGACCCAGATATCGCGCTCCCATCTGCAAACACGACATTCGTGGCCGACACCACATATTCGTCATGCTAAAACCCGATGAAAACTCACCAGGATTTGAGCTCGTGGGCGTCGTTGTTGAGCACGGTGAAGGAGTACATGAACCAGTAGGGCTGTCGGGCGGGAGCCGAGGGTCGAATCGACAGGGAGATCCTTCCGCCTTCGTAGGAACAAGAGAGGAATACTCTGACGCAGGCGTCGGAGGTCGGCGGCGGGACGGCGGGTGTGGGAGGGGTTTGGGATTGGGCCCGCCAGAGGGTTAGAGGAAGAAGGAGATGTTGATTTTAATTTTTTGAAAATTAATTTGTAAATTAAATTAAGGCTGTGATGATTTTTGTACTTAAAGGATTGTTGTGCAAATAATATAAATGTATGGCCTTCAAAATAAATACAATTATTTATTTAAAAGTTATTAATTTAAATTTTTAATATTTAATGAAATAAGTGTATTATAGGTTTTTGCAAGTACGAGGAGTACGAGACCAAGTACAAGGTGACCAACATTCTTTTTTTTCTTGTATCATCTTGTACCTTGAATCTAATGGTTGATATTGATTTTTGAGTCAATCTAATGGTGATATAAAGGGGTACCTGATGTTAAGTAGGTACAAGAGGTACCTGACTCTAGACGGTCCCTAGTAACTTATGCAAATACATTCATGCTACAACTTACTAAGCCTTCAAGAACTCTATTAGACATGATAGATAACCAGCAAAAATACGCTCTAGAACTCTATTAGACATGCTATATAACCAACAGGAAAACACTTAAGAACTCTATTAGACATGGTAGTAACCATCGAATATACAGTCATGCTACAAGTTAACCAGCAAAGAAGAAGAGAAGTTAAGAGGCCCTCTTCCCGTGTTGCCGACTTTGTCTCTCACACTATTTGTTCCCCGTCTCCCCACTTTGCCTCCTCCATCATGTCATCATCTGATACTCCTTACCCTCTCGCACACTATGTTTCTTGTGATTAATTTTCACCTGCACATCAATCATTTCTGGCAGCCATTTCTTCTCCTATTGAGCCTCAAACCTTTTATGAGGCTGTTCGAGATAGTCGTTGATGCTCGGCTATGCAACTGGAGATTCGAGCATTGGAATCGAACCGTATGTGGGATATTGTTTTTCTTCCTACTGGAAAACACGCGATTGATTGCAAGTGGATTTATAAGATTAAATATAATTGTGATGGTTCTGTTGAGCGCTACAAGGCGCATTTGGTTGTCTTGGATGACCGGCAGGTGGAGGGCATTGACTATCAGGAGGCATTTGAACTTGTCACAAAGATGGTTACTGTACGGACTTTTCTTGCTGTTGTAGCTGCTCTACATTGGGAGGTTCATCAGATGGACGTGCACAATGCATTCTTGCATGGGGATCTGTCTGAGGAGGTCTACATAAAACTCCACCTGACTTTCATTCGTCTGGTCTTGGTAAGGTGTGTCGATTACGCCGATCTCTATATGGTTTAAAGCAAGCTCCTCGTTGTTGGTTTTGCAAAGCTTGCTACTGCTCTTAAACATTACGACTTTGAGCAACCTTATTATGATTAATCACTTTTCACTCTACATCAAGATTCTATGTACTTGTATGTCCTGGTTTATGTCGATGATCTCATCACTTCTAGAAGCGATCTGGCTGCTATTACTGCCTTTAAGGAATACTTGGGTCATTGTTTTCATATGAAGGATTTGTGAGTCTAAGTATTTTTTGGGCATCGAGGTTGCTCGGAATTCTTCTAGAATATTTCCGTGTCAGCGGAAATACATTCTTGACATAGTTGCCAAAGCTAGCTTACTTGATGACAAGCGTGTTGATTTTCTAATGGAGCAGAATCACAATCTTACATTGGTCGATGGTCTGTTGTTCTCTGATCTTGATGAGCGATATCAGTGGCTAGTGGGTCGTTTGATTTATTTAGTTGTCACTCGTCCCGACTTGTCTTATGATGTGCACATGCTCTCTCAGTTTATGCATCAGCATCGTCAGGCACACTGGGATGCCGCCACTCGTGTGGTACGTTACTTGAAGGATACTCCGGGCCAGGGTATCCTTCTTCTGTCTGATTGTTCCTTACAGGTCTATGGTTTGTGTGACTCTGATTGGGCAACATGCCATGCTACTCGACGGTCTCTCACTGGTTGGTTCGTCTGACTTGGCCATTCTCCAATATCATTGCATACTAAAATGCAACACAAGGTTGCACGCTCTTCTGCCGAGGCTGAGTATCGTGCTATGGCGACGCTTATTGCGAGTTGAAATGGTTATGGGTTTACTTCGCAGTCTTGTTGTGGCTCATTCTCAGTCGATACGGATTCATTGTGACAGTCAAGCGGCGCAACGCATTGCCACTAATCCTGTCTTTCATGAGCGCACCAAACACATTGAAGTTGACTGTCATTTTCTTCGTGATACTCTTGTTCAAAGTCTCATTTCTACCGCTCATGTTTCCACTCATTCTCAATTGATGGACATATTCACCAAGGCCTTGGGAAAACGTGAGTTTGATTTTTTTTTTTTTTTGNNGTTGGGCATCCAAAATCCGCATGCTCCAATTTGAGGGGGGTGGGGGAGGGGGTGGTGTTAGAGAAATTTATGAATATTGTATTTTTTGTATAGATAGATTTTAGTATCTTAGATATTTGATGTATATATTATTTTAGAGCTTCATTTGTATTTATATATTGGGGCTCTGGTGAATCTATGGCAGTCAGGTCTTTAGGTGAATGAATTGATTTTCGCATATTTGTTAAAGTGACTAACGTTATTCATCTATAAAATAAATAACATCATAGTTAATATATTAAGTATTTTCTTTATTTTCTTTATTTTTGAGGAGTTGTCGAGAAAAAAAAAGGGCATGAGGGAGAAGTATATATATATATATATATTATAAGAAAAGAATGGGAAGGGCGTGAGTAAGAAGGGAAAGTAACAGAAAAGTATTTTTGGTTTGTTTATAAATGGCAAAATGGCGGGAATTAACACGACCTTTACGTGTTTGGCAATTTAATCACGAATTTTAGACCTTGGCAAATAAATACATGACCTTTACATTTTTGGCAAAATGGTACATGCTTTTAACGGTCGTTAAGGCCGTTAACGGAAATCTGACGTGGCGACCAGGTGTATCCGAGTCAGTGACCGGATATCGTGAATATATCGTGGTAACTTGAATTTATCACGATATATTGAATATATTGCTAGAAATTAGAAAAAAAAAAAAAATCTGTTGATCCTAGGGATTGAACCTATGACCTCATGGGAGCAAAAAATACATGCAACCACTACACCACTCAAGGTTAAGTTTTAGTTCCAGTACCAGTTAATATATATGGATATTACATATGGATGAATTAAACTAAATTTAGAAGATAAATTAAAATATAATAAATTAAATTTTATGAAATTAAACTAAAAAAATTTTGAAATAACTTATTATATTAAACAAAAACAGAATAATTAAAATACATTATAAATAAATATAAAAACATATAGTTAAAATAATATAATATAATATATAATATAATATAATATAATATATAATATTATAATATTTTATAATATATTATAATATATTTTTTAATATAATATATTAATATAATAATAAATAAATAATATATATAATATATAATAATATAATATATAATATATAAAATAATATATATTATATTATATATAAAATATATTATATAATATAATACATAATATAATATAATATAATATAATATATATTATATATATATATATATATATAACATAATATATAATAAATAATATATATACATAATATATATAATATATATTATTTATTTAGTAATATATTATTATATATATTAAAATATATATTATAATATATATAATGTATTATATATATTGTATTATATTATTATATATTATATTATATAATATATATATAATATATTATATTATATTATAATATATAATGTATATTATATGTTATATTATATTATTATATATATATTATATTATTATATATTAAATAAATAATATATTAAATTACGTACTACAATAATATATATTATTTGTTTAATATAATATAATATATATGATACAATATATGGATCCTGGATTTTCCCAGCGATTGCTCTGTCCGATCCATAGTTGGTTTTAATATATAATAAAATGATGTTTATATATATATAAATGAAGTCAGATTTTTAACATAAGTTGTGTTGTGTCAAGTAGTTCATAACCACTTGTTATATATATGAGGTACCAGGTTCAAATCCTCCCTTTTGCACAATTTGCCACCTGATCGCTGACTCGGATACACCTGGTCGCCACGTCAGATTTCCGTTAACGACCGTTAAAAACATGTACCATTTTGCCAAAAATGTAAAGGTCATGTATTTATTTGCCAAGGTCTAAAAGTCGTGATTAAATTGCCAAACACGTAAAGGTCGTGTTAATTCCCGCCATTTTGCCTTTATAAATTTAAATTCAATGTCTTCCATCCTTAAAAAAATAATAATATTTTTCTTTTGTTAGAATATCACTTGTGAGTTGTCCCACATCGTTCATATATGGAAAATAAATCCACCTTACAAGTATAATGAGCTACTCCTCCTTCCACCAATTGGTTTTGAGATGGAACCCCACTTGGGCTTTATATGGGCTTTCCCCGCTTATGGTGCGCTTCATGATAGTGGGACCGCACTTATTTTCCCCCAGTTTCTTTAATGTTATCAGAGTCGGTTCTGTTGGTGACCGTGCGATGGCGTACCCGTCACCCAGTCCAGTTGGGCTTGGGCTTTTGAATGACTCACAAG